TTTAATAAAAGTGTTGGCAAAGAAAACTACTACAAAAAAATGAAGAATAGATGATCTTATGAGAAATTCTTTACAAAATAGAATTCTTGATCAAATGGATAAAAACTAGTTTTGATCAATCAATGAATTCTTTGTATCTAAATTTCCAAATCAATGATCTCTCTTAACAAATAATACAAGTTAAGTATGAAGATAGATTTACACTTAAATCAAAGTGTTGGCAAAGAAAACTTTTAACAAGAATGAAGAATAAATGAAGTTATGAAAAGTTATTTGCTAAAATTGAATTATTGAAAAGATGAATAAAATAAGTTGAATCAATCAAGAAATTCTTTTGTAATAAGTGAAATAGAATTTAGATTCAAGTAATCTCAATGATTTCTAATACATAAGCTCTAAAAAAATCTCTTGTAAGTTTGTTGAATTGAATGCAAAAGAGATTGGTATTTATAGAGCAAAAAGAGGCACTCTCCAGTAAGTTCGGTTGAGCAAGTTCGATCGACCGAAAGTTTTCGGTTGACCAAAATATAGCCGTTGCAAAATATTCCCGTTTAACTTTCGGTTGACCGAAAGTCAACTTCGGTCGACCGAAAGTCAACTTCGGTCGACCGAAAGTCAACGATCAACTGGTTGACCTTTTTTTAAAAAAAAAATCTTTTCAAAATCTTTCATATTTTAAATGAAAATATTTTTATGCAAGTGATGAATTATGAAAATAATTTGAGCTTTTATGCACTTGCTAAAGATTGACGTGTTAATACCTTTACATATAAATGTACAATGTTTAATCGTCTTGACTTGTCGTTCTTTTGGCTTGTATCTTGATTTGCGTCTTTTGCGAATCTTCCGGTTCCAATTAGAACGTCGCATGCAAATCTCTATCGTTTCGAGAGCAAACTTTCACTTTGATCTTCAATTCGAGTCCGATTAATGATGTGTTCATTTTGGCAATTTTTGATCGTGTTTAACATTGAACTATCATCACTCAAAATCAAATGTTAGTAAATAAAATGACTTGTTTGTTATAATCAAAACATTAAGGTTATAATCAACCATAGGTCAACAATCTCTACTTCTCTTGTCCCTCTCCTCTACTTGGGTCTCAAGTATCCCTCAACTGTTGGATTAATGTATGCATTTATGTAACAAGATTTAAACAAAATCGTTGTTCAATTGATTTCTACCAAAGAGTTTGAGAAATAAAAGGAAACTATTATCTTTTCTAATTGAACTCATTTTCTCATGTTACTTTTATCTTCTAATATTTACAATTAATTCCTCTTCATTCTAAAATAATTGTAGTTGACGTTTTCAATTTAGTCCTCAAACTTTCCAAATGTTAAATTTAGCTCCCAAAACTTATGATTTTTTACCGAATACTCCATTAATACTTCCAATTGATATCTTGCGATCCAATTAATCTTCAATTACTTGAAATCAACTCTAATTAAGCTCCCAATAGTATCTTTGCACATAAACAATTGGGATTTTCCTATCGTTAATATAATTTACACAAATTAAGTAGATTTAATTCATTTCTCATTTTAATAATTCATTTCTCATTTTAATGAGATTCAAACACACACTAAGTGTGTAGAATCTATACTAAAGCTACAATTTCCCCTATGATAATTTAGTTATTTAGCATATGTTTAATTTTGTTAAAATTGGTTTTGTAAATAGTGAGTTTTTTTAGAATATGTGGTTAAAAAATTAGATTGAAGTGCAAAATATTTAATCATGAAATCACGTGATTGATAATGAGTTTGGAAAAAAAGTGAGTTTTAGATAATGAGAAATCTTCTTGAATACAAGTCGGTGTATATTTTCTTGGAAGGAGGAAAATTGTCTGGTGTGTGGTGTAACTTTTTCATTACGTATTTTATCAATTTTTATCAAAATTTATTAAAAATTTGATTTTAATCCCATGGGCTAAGTGTCTTCATATGGTTGTTAGCTTACGTTACCAACCGTTCCATCGTACTTTTAACCTCAAAAAATAATTACTTATTTTCAATTATTTCATTTTTTTTTTGTCGATTTCCACCTACTCTATTTATGTAAATTTCCTCACGTCATGCATGGAGCACAGTTTTCTAGAAAGAGGTGGGACGGATCAGCTTGATTGACTCGGTAACGTGATTTGCGCTGAGAAGACTAGTGTCGTTTACGTCGAGCCTGCGAATGATGCCACTTTGGAACGCAAATTTGTCGTTTATTTCAGGTCACGTTTGGTAAGGCTTAAAATCAAATTTTTTAATAAATTTTAATAAAAACAGCCCTTATTTATTTACATGGTGAGATATGAGTTAATTTTGAAATAAGATTATTATTATTTTATTATTTTTTACTTAAAAGTTAAAAAGATATTATTATATGTCCAAACGTTCTCGTTTTACTTTATACTAATCCTAGCCAAGCATGATCTTATTTTGAGTGTTAGATAAATATTAGTTTCAAATAAATAATCTTAATTTAAAAGTACAAAAATGTTACTTATATACACATTCAAAAATGTTTAAATTTAATTCGTTCACGATGTGACCAATTAGCCAAAATATTAGCTTTTTAATAGTTAAATAACGACATCTAACAAAAATAGTGATTTCTGCATTAAAATGTTGAAATGATGTTAAGAATATCAGGATTGCAATAATATTTAACAAGTTCATGGAGAACCCAAAAGATAAGTGGTAATGTGGAAATTAACTATTAATTAAATGGATTTCGTCAGCTAGGAACAATGCGCATAAAAAATGGTATGTTGAGGATGTGAATGCTAAAAGAAATAGAATTAGGACATGTTTTCAATTAAGTGTATGTAATCTATACTAAAGCTGCAATTTCCCGTCTGATAATTTAATTATTCAGTCTATGTTTAATTTTGTTAAAATTGATTTTGTAAAAAAATTGGATTGAAGTGTAAAATATTTTATCAAGAAATTGTGTGATTGATAATGAGTTTGAAAAAAAAAAAAAAAGTGAGTTTTAGTCTTTTAGATAATGAGAAATTTTATTGAAGACAAGTCGCTGTAAATTTTCTTGGAATGAGGGAAAAGTGTCTGGTGTGTGATGTAACAAGTCTTGTTATATTAATACTGTGGCTGTTCAACTTTGACTGACTTAAAATGCTGAATTTTCCTCAAAACGCTTGTATGATTGCTTAACAATGGGGAATTCCCTTCTTAAAGTAGGGGTTCACAAAATTTCTACAGAGCTCTCACATGAGGTGGATCTCTCGTGGGACCCACCTCAATAAAAAGGTCAAAAAAATTACATGACCCACCCCTCTTCCCATGTGCGAGTGTTCTGTGCGGGTACATGCACCTAGGTTCCACTTCCATAATAATACCTGCGCGCACATGCACGAAGACCCACCCCCTTCCCTTTTTTTTTTTTCTCTCTGTGCACTCTTCATCATCCCCTCTCTCACCTCAATTCCTCCAACTCATAAGGACATCTTCAATGGAGACCTCATTGCACAAAAATACACCAAATTAAAAGTCTATGACCGACAAATTTTAAAAATATGTGACATATGCTTGTCGGAATCGGACTGATCGTCGAAATTAAGTGGCGCCGGAACGGTCGTCGAAGTAGTTGTCGGAAAGTCACCGGCGCCGAAGTAGTGGGGTGGGGTGGGTTAATTATATTATATTACAATTAAATATTTAATTTAACATAATTGTAAAATATAATTAATTAATTAATGAAAAACTTGATTTTTGCAATTCTAAACTTTGGGGCCTTTAATTAATGAAAAACCTGATTTTTGTAATTCTAAAATTTGGGACCTGATTTTTGATTTTGAAATAAATAAAGCCATCGACCCATTTGAAACAAATACTTTATTAATTAAACAATCCTGGCAAAGACTCTGTCCTTCTGCAATGTCCACGTGAAGTGTGAACACTATTATTAAATACAAGTTGATACGTAAAATTAAAAATTCAGACGATATCAGATTTTAATGACAAAATGAATCTTTCAAATTTAAAAAAAGAAACATTTATATTGTTGTTATCGTCAATAATTTTTGAATTAAATTATTATTAATCATTTCTTTTTTTATTTAATTAAAACCGTCTTTACATTTTTCATTTTTACTTGATGCAGAGTATCTCATTCAAGTTTTTGGTATTTTATCACATTATTCTCATGTTTGATTTTACTAAAAATCAAATTTTTAATAAATTTTGACAAAAGTTAATAAAATCCTATTGAAAATTTGATAAAAGTAGTGAGTCGATAAATTAAATTGTTGATTTCATGAATATTGTTTAAATTTTAATATGTTCTTAAAAAAAGATTCTTGCAAGAAATTAACTGCTGATAATTTGAGTTAAACTTGGATTAATGAAATTAAATTACAACACAATTATAACATAACAAAGCTTACCATTATTTATACGCTTGAAAGACAATGTTGAAAATGCTAAAAATAAGAGTAATGCTACTTGCAGTCGCTCACTGCAGCAGTCGCCCTATATGACACACACATGGTATGTGTGTCAAATGTGTATTTGATGCATTATTGCATTAAATGTGGTAAAAAACTAACACATTAATGCATCAAATAACTACATGTCATGTGTGTGCCACATAAGGCGACTGCTGCAGTGAGCGACTGCAAGTAACATTATTCTAAAAATAATGGATAGATAAATTCAATATTGCAAAATCTTTTAAGGGTATATAATTTCTCTCCTTTTACTCAACTATTTCATGTGTAAAAATGCTAGAATACTCAAATGGGTGGGCCACATATGAGTAAAATATTATTATAAAAAATGCGGCGAGAGCCTACGACGAGGCCACGATTTTGATGTCTGGCCGGAATGCTAAAATCATCGTCAACAACCACATCATCTGCAAATTCTCTTTTGACAATTCTTAGTGCAAAACTGCGAAAGTGTTGTAAATCACCATCTCCTTCTCTCACTTGTTTAAGGTTAGACACTGAGAATTTCCATTTCGGAGTATGGCAAAAGTCGGTTGGGGCACGGTCGGATTCGAATTGGATGATGACTGTTGACTTTGATAAGAAGAACGATCAGCCCCTATTGCCAGCGGCTGAGGTGGGGATTTTGCTGGAGGATTCGACGTCGATGGAGATGAAGAGTGTTTGTAACTTTGGTTATGTGATTAAAAATATAATTCGTGACTTTAAAATTAGATAATCTGTGACCTAGAAATTATATAATCTGTGACAGTAAAAAATCTGTGACCAATTAATTTGAGAATTTATGATTGTGTGACCTATAAATTTTAATCTGTGACCAACCGTAAAAAAATTGTAACCAATTAATTTGAAAATATGTGACTGTGTGACCTATAAATTTTGATCTGTGACCAATTAATTTTGAAATCTGTGACCAACGAATTAATTGTGACCTATAAAATTTTTGAACTGTGACCGCCAGAATAATTGTCGGAATCGGAGCAGTCGCCGGAACGATCGTCGGAGAAGAGTGGTGGTCGGAACGGTCCTCGGAATAGTCCTCGGAACGGTAGGGGTGGTAGAGGTGGGGTGAGTTAATTATATTATTTAATAATTAATTAATAATTAAATACCTGAATTTTGTATTTTTAAACTTGACACCTGAAAAATGAATTGTGTCAAAATTAACACTTGACTTTTGAATTATTCCCTTAACTAAATTCAACGACAAGTGGTGGTGGTTTGGGCCTTGGGGTGTGGCCTTATTATTTTCTATAGAGTTTTGGTGTGAAGAATGAGGGAAAAATCATCTTTAAGAAAAAAAAGTACTTTTAATATACTATTAAAGGCTATTTGCGCAACATCTGTTGAATTGGTACGTATAAGCTCGAAAAATATTTCTCAAATACTTCACCTCTCCTTCGTTAAAGAGAAATTTAACACGTGTTTTTCCCTCTTTTTTCTCTAAATTCATTTTCACCGAACATTTCACGGTACAACATTTTTTATTAATTTTTGAACCATACACTTCATTAACTCTACTAAAAACATGATGTTTAGCAAAACCAAATAGAGGCTTACATACGTGAAATATTGAATAATTCAGCAAAATGGTTGATAAATTCATTAAATTCCATTCTATTGACATTGTTTTTAAATTCT